ATTTAGTCCATGTCCTCAATATTAGAATCAAAATAATAATATTCCCATCACAGATTTGTTGTTGTTGTTGTTGTTGATTTGAAGACAAGGATAGAACCACCTTCATATTCTAATATTCTGGTATTAGTAAGATTTTAATGTTAAAAATATTTTTTCAGATTTCAAATGAAAGATATTTTGGTCCAAATATGTTTGTTTCTAAAATCGCTTTCTATTACTTTCAATTTTTGTCGTACAAATAAATATTTCAAACTGTAGTATATATGATTGGTTTCAGTTTTTCAACTAACAAAATTAAAAAGTTCGGATTTGATGCTAAACAATATTATTATATACATATTCCTTTATTGCCAAACAATCATCTGAATGGATTTGCCTTCATAAAAACAAAACTGCAAATAAGTTTTAAGTGGCGATATGCATAAATGGGAGGACAACAATAGTTGCATTTTGTAAGAATTATGTATTATTGATTGATATAATGTTTATATTATTACAATGATTCATCGATTCCTATATATAGAAGAGGGTGAGTGTGTAGTAGGTAAGGAGTAGGTGAAGTGGAGGTGGTAGTGGTGTAAGTGGGGTTAGAGTTTAGTGGAGTAGGTGAGGTGGTAGTGGTGTAGTGGGTTAGGTTTAGTGGAGTAGGTTTAAGTGGGTGAAGTAGGTTGATAGGTTTTAACAGCCCCCGCAAACTCAAGGGGGATAGGAACTAAGCAACTTGAGTTTTGGAGAGAGTAACAAACAAGAAAATACATAAAAATAAAGAGGATAGGACACTGTATGTCGTGTCAGACCGTTGGTGCAGACACTGTATGGTTGTAGACCGAGTAGAAGACACTGGCTCGTGATCGGACCGATGAGAAGACAGTTTATGGGGTCATGTTGGACGGTGTAGAAGACACTGTAGGGTCGTGTCAGACCGATGTAGCAGACAGTTTATGGGTCATGTCGGACCGTTGTAGAAGACAGTTTACGGGGTCTTGCTGACCCTTGTAGAAACTAACCGAGAATCTATGTGGGACAGTTTACAGAGTCTTGTCGGACCCATGAAGGAGCTAACCGGAATCAATGTCGGGACAGTTACATTTACAGAGTCTTGTCGGACCCATGAAGGAGCTAACCGGAATCAATGTCGGGACAGTTTACAGAGTTTGTCGGACCATAAAAAGTCGCACCCTCAAAAGGTGTCCAATCTATCAAAAGGCGTGCCATCAAAAGGCGTGCCCAATCCATAAAAAGGCGTGCCATCAAAAGGCGAGCCCAGTCATAAAAAGGTGTGCCGGACATGATGGCAGGCACGTGAGTGCCTTGGCTGCGCGCGCCGTTTTCGTCTGGGGTCAAGTGCCCGCGATACGCGTGGCTGCCTCGCTATTTAACCAAGACGGAGGCTGAGGCTGAGCAGAAGCTGAGACAAAAAAACTGAGAGAAACCTCTGAAAAATTCTTCGTTTTGCTGAAAAGATACCTGTAACACTCTGTTGCCCAGAAAAATGGCTTCGTCTTCCCGGGTCTGCTCACTCTCTTTCCCGACCTCAACGAGTCAACAAGAGAGATAACTGGTGCGTGGCACTGGAACCTCAACCAAGCGCCCCGGAGTTTTCCGTTGAACTTTCCTATGCGGTCTGTGGAGCAAAGAATGGCAGTGCAGTCGGATGTGGAGGCCAATCAGTATACCTTGAAGTCATGTGTGGAAACCATGACTGCGGTTACAAATTTGTCGAACCGGCTGCAGAGTAGGACAAATGAGGTGCAGCAGTTAAACGCCCAACTGGCTCTGCTCCAACCATGTATAAGAGATCGCGAGCAGAGATAAGTGTGCTAAAGGCGGAAAACAAGGAGCTGAAGCGGAAGGCCAGTTTTATGTTCCGATTTGGAGGGGCCATATGTGCTATGCAGTGAGGAGCAGGGAGTAGTGATCATGCCCAGTGGAGGTGGGAAACAGGAGGCAACACCGCAAGGGCCGCCCAAGACGGAGGCAAGAAGAAAGACCGGCGGCAGAATAGGAAGAAAATCCACCTGTGAATGTGGTGTTTGTTTGTAATTTTTATTTTTTTTTTTTTTTATTTTGTGTTTTGTGTTTTTGTATGTGGAACATGGTGATCGGGGTGAGACCCGACATGAATAAAATGAGTTGTGTGCAATTTGTAAATTGTTTGCAATGGTGTTTGGTTTTTTTTTTTTTTTTTTAATAAAAATAAGTAATAATAATAATAATAATAATAATAAAAAGAAATTTGATTAAAAAGAAATAAAGAAGTGGGGATGGGTTCAAAAGTGGACACTATCAGTGGGAAACATGAGTGTATGGATAATTGATTATAATAATAATAATAATAATAAATAATAATAATAATAAATAAAAAATAAAAAGGTAGACCACTGAGAGAGAATGAGTGGAGTATGGTAAGGCTGGGTGTAAAGTGAGAGAGACTGGGAAAAAGAGATTCCACCGTCTGCCTGTTGTGGCTTGATTGTTGATGCATATGACCAACACCATAAGAAAAGCTGTCTTTGTAAAGTCCAAGATTATCATGAGAAACCTGATGTAAACACCCTGAAAATCTACCAGAAGTGAAGAGATCCAAAGCCTGCATTTTCATGTCCATTGAGCTTGAAATCGCCGAAGACGGTTGATTCAAGTTGGAAAACCGTCCATATTTTGTGGGGGAATTAATGATCTCAGTGTCGCATTGCCTTTACAGGAGGAATCTGTCTCTGGGTCTTGCAAATGGAAACTGTAGACAAGTCCCATGTTGATTTGGAAGACGCCGGTGGTGCTGGTGGCGCACCTGTTGTTGCTGAGATCGAGCTTGAAGAGAAGCTTCAAGTTCTTGATCGTGTGAGGGCCTGTGCCGCAGAATCGATTCGAGTTGATGTGAAACAATGCGAGATCTGTGAGGAGTCCGAGCTCCTCCGGGAGGTACCCGGCGATGTCGCCTTGGTTGGGATCGATACCGGCAACGATGTTGATCGAGGAGTTGTCCGGCGTCGTGGAAGAGGGTCTGGCGGAGAGAGAGCTTCCTGAGGTTGGAAAGGTGGGCAATCCGGAGGTCCAAGGTTTTTCAGCCATGAAGATTCGGAGGGTTGCATCAATCCATTCTCTTTGACAGAGGATAGGAACTTGTGTAAATTGAACTGACCGAGCAAAGTTGCAAACCAATATTCAGCAGCAGGAGGAGGAAGGACATGCAGAGTGATCAAGGTATGTGTAGAAAATTCAAGCGGAATAGGTTGAGGTCCGGCGGGCGGTCAAGGCGAGGTTGCCGCCCGCCGGTGAAGCGAAAAATATTAATTTCTTAACCTTGCTCTGATACCATGTAAGAATTTATGTATTATTGATTGATATAATGTTATATCTATTACAATGATTCATGATTCCTATATATAGAAGAGGGTGAGTGTGTAGTAGGTAAGGAGTAGGTGAAGTGGAGGTGGTAGTGGTGTAGTGGGTTAGGTTTAGTGGAGTAGGTTTAAGTGGGTGAAGTAGGTGATAGGTTTTAACACATTTCGCATATAGAAATTAAAACTAACTTTATCTAAAATTAAGTGCATATTGAGACAATAATTGAGTTTTATACAAAAAGGAGTTGAGCCATTTGCAAGATTAAGATCTATATAACTCTCTCCCTTTCATCTTTCTTCTCAGCATCTTTCAAACTTTAGCTCAAAATGATTTAATAGACAAAATTTGTAGGAAGATGATTCCATATTACAGCCATTGTCACTCAGTTTTCGAATAAGATTTTCGAAGCAAAAATGCAAATATCCAAGTTCTAAGCATCATTATTGCTACTGAAGCTACAAATGCTAACGCAACTATTCCACTAAACCTCGCCAATGAGGTTATTGAATCCAATCCGAAGTTAAATCGAGAGGCAAAAATATATTGTAAGTGCAAGAAACTTTACATCCCAATTGTGAACAATCTATTTCCAAAAGCTACTCAGGCCATAGATAGAAATGATCGTAAAGTCATTGCAAATGCGATCAATAAAGCTCGTGTTGGGGGTTTCAAAATGTTCAAAGCTTTTGGATCACATTCTGGAAAATGTATCACTAGAGATTAAGATGAGCATAAAGAAGACAGCAAATGTTCATGTCGTAGAATGCTCTAGTATAATTAGAGTAGTTGTAAAACAATGGTTGGCTTCATAACTAAAAACCAACTTTTATATGAGCTCTTAATTATAATTGAAATAATAATAAAGGAATTAACTTTCAAGTGTAGCATTTTAAAGGGATTAAAGGTTTTTTTTTTTTATTCGAGTTCGAGATTGGTTGTTCGAAAAATGAAAAGCTAAGCACGACACAAATGGAGTTTTTGTAACACTCCAAACCCAACTCCTTTGGGCACGGTGCGCTAGCTAAAATCCAATCTAACATTTCCCAAATAGCAATCTTTCAAATCCACTATAAAAAATAAAATGGTATCCAATTTACAATTGCTTCTGATCTTAAATAATACACAACAGAAATCCTAAAATTTCTATCATGGATAAATCTTCATACAATCCGATCTTCTACTGGATCAATATGTATACATTCTGATAAATATGTATGTGCATATTTATGAATGTATATATGCATGCATGCATGTATGAAGCTGTAGAGATGGTAGAGATACAAAACAATGGCGAAAAACTGATTGGTGGTTTGTTTTCAGCAATGAAAATGAATAAGACTTACTTGGAAAGAAACAACCTATGAGGGACAAAATCTACTCTCTAAATGGAGTTATTTATCAGAACAAAATCTAGTCAGCATGAAAAGTAATCTCTAAAAAATGGGATCATCTCATTTTAGATTCTATGATAAAGCAAGGTATAGTCACTCCAAATTTATGTATTGATTACCTTAATTTTCTCCTCGTTTAGTAGGTAAGTAGTTGAAGAATAGGGTGGGATAACAGTACAAATCTAGTCCTCGGTGCCAAGACATACAATAAGTTACAGAATTGCATTATCCTATGAGCATAATAGTTAGTCCTAATAAAGTCAATTGAAATATGACAAACAACATAGTTTTACAAAATTGCAATTCATTCCAGCCTCAAAGAGATCAATACTCTGACAATTTTCTTTTAGCATCTTTAACAATACAAGCCATGATACATATTTTATACCTCTTCCCCCCACAAAATTTTAGCACAATGTAAATAGAAAACAAATAACATCCCTACTCTCGCAGTTTTTCTTCTCTCCCCTCTTTTTCCAATTAACATGTCTTGTAATAATCATGACAAATGCATTAAACTGCTCGATTGAAGGAAAGTTTCAATTACTCAATGAGGTAGAGAGCCATGCATACCTGAATCAAATATGATCCTGTGCTTTACAATTCAACCACAGCTTCGTCAAAGTGCTCCACCCAAAAAAGTCCAAAATCCATTATCAGTGGCTAAAACAGATGATTGGTTGTCCGCAAATGGAGGGTATAGCTGAAGGAGATTGCGGAGAACCAGTTTCAAGTAGAAAGCTTCTACTGCAATACGACCTAGATGTACTTGAAGAAGAAGCGAGACACCTTCCATCTCCACTGTGAAAAAACACCTCGGCTCTATGCATTTTCCCTTTACTCCTTCTCCCTCTCCCATCAGTTCCTTCATACTCTTCATCTTCCACAGCTTCAACAAACCCACTATGCATCGGATCTGAACACTCGTACAGAAGCCGAAGAACTTGCTTAATTGACGGTCTAGCCCTTCCTTCTCTCTGGGTACACCATCTCACAATTGTCGCTACTGTTTGAAGTTGATCAAAGTCGAACAAATCACTGATACTGGGGTCCACAAGCTCAGCAAGACTTGACTCTGAATTCAAAAATACTTGGGACCATTCCACCAAATTCTTGTTGTCTTGTATTGCTCTTCTGCCAGTAACCAGTTCTAATAGTAGCACACCATAACTATACACATCACTTTTTTCGGTGAGCTCTTGAGTGGTCACATACTCGGGATCCATGTAACCTGAAAGTCATGCAGTGTTCGACTCCCTTCAGAGCAAGTACAGAGAATTTTTGTGTTTTCTGAAAACAATTTTTGTTTTTTACCTGGAGTGCCCCTGATGTCAGTGTTCACTGGTTCAAAGCAAACTGATCCATCTTTTGAAGCATGCAAAAGGCCAAAATCAGCAACCTGTAAAACAAATCATGGGCGGGAAAAAAAATATTCCAAAACCATTCATGTGGACGTGCTAAGATGTCCAGTAAATATCAGATGGGCTATTCCAAGATGATAAAATAATAATTAACTCAGTTAATGTTGTTTAGTTATACGAGAGAAATTTGAAGACTACCCGAATTTTAAATTTCAAAACTCGTTAAAGCCTTAAAGGGCATCTAACTTGGTATGTTACCTTCGCAATGAAATTCTCATCTAATAAAATATTGCTGGACTTAATGTCTCTATGGCACAGTGGAGGATCACAATAGAAATGGAGGTACTCCTGCATGTGGAGATGTCAAATTAGAACAAAGTGAATGTCACAAGATGAGAATTAGACTGCAAATGAATGTAGTAGATTTTGAAACTGTAGTATATTGACTCATAGGTAAGCATTATTCTGCAAATTACCAAGGCATTTGCCACATCAATGGCAATTTGAATTGTAGTCTGCCAACTCAGAGGAGTTCTACCTGGAGCTGCACATAAATA